GAATTTGCAATTATTTGGATACCCTGTATAATATAATTTTATAATATGATTGTTTTTTTACTACTAACATGAGAAATCACCATTATTTGCTCCATTCCTCTAATGAGAAGTAATATTTCTCACCCTAGGTAAATAATGATAATAAAAAAATACCTAGGTAAATAATGAAACTAAATTTCATTAGTTTCATTTTGTTAATTTGACAACTAAACTCCCAGACTACTTGATATTTTGAAATATTTGAAAAATAAGTAGGAAATAACTAAAGCTGGGTTTATTAAAATCTAATCAAATCAAATATGATAATATATGTATATCAGTGTTAAATACACTAAATTAAATTAAATGTTCTGGTCAAAATAATAAAACAAAAAAAACGGTAATTAATTAAAACGGAGTAATTAATTTTTAATCAAACGGTTGACCAACTGAGAAGTTCACAAAAATAAAATAAAACAAGTAGTTACGACACTCCCTGTATACGGAGAATGAAGTTTACTATTACCACAGTTAACCTACCTACAATGTAAGTTCAGATAAGGAAAACCTACTATAAAATGGAACAAAGTTTTCGGAACCCCCTTGTATCTTGGCCTCGAGCGATCAGCAGTGGGAATTTTCGTCGAGTGAGAATGATATGAATCTACGCGGTGTTTGGACAGCCAAGGCGGTGGTGAAAGAAAAGATTATTTTGAGATCTGCCCAAAGTCGAGCAAGACGATGTGTGAATTAACTTTATAGAAAACGTCAGGCTTCGTTCAATAATAATTAATTGTTACGGGAAATGGAATGATTCAAATACAATTGAATGAATAAATAAAGGAAAAGAGAAACTTACATGAAAAATACTGGGCGCTTCTTATAAAAAATTGCCAACGTTTCCCACTAAGGGATGAAATAAAATATCCTGGGTATGAATTAAAAATGTTTCACTTGTCGGACGGGTGTCCCAAACTAATTGTAGATAAAAAAAATAATATGCGGTTTCCTACCTTAGAAAAATAAACGAGGTTGTTCAGCAGTCTAACAATATCGCGGTCACTCACTAGTCGGTGGAGAAGAGAGAAGAGCTTACGGTTGCCGGAAATCAAGAGAGCGTAATTCCCAGGTGTGATCGAATTTATGCTTTTCGGTAATCCCGAGTGGGGGATACCACTACTACAGCCGACTGCTTACAATTTAAAAATAAAAAAAAATGTCCTTCTAGTACCTTGACAAATAAAAGTAGATAATTGGTACGAAATCGACTCTACAAAATACCCATTCGGATTTCGGCAAATATAGGAATATTTTAACCTACGAAGATACTCACAATTGTTGAAAAACGGTAATTCCTGGGAAACAGAAACACTGGGGATCTTCTACATGTCCTCAGGCGGGAATTAATTGAAATATACATTTTAAAATTAATTGAGACTAATTTTTTTTTATAAATAATGCAGGATCATAAATACATATATACCACCCACTAAAACAAAAATCACTTATCACAAGAAAACAGTTAACTAGCGGCAAATAAACCAAAACCAATTAGTAGCATAAAGTGTACCTACAGTAAGAAACTAATGTACACTAACCACAAGTAAATAGTTCACTAACTGTAGGTCGTTTAAAAACTAATTGAACTGTTTACTAACCACAGGTAACTAATTTCAGAAATCTTGTTTTACTCACTATAATTAAACATTTTACCAGTCCCATATAGTATACAACTTTTTATTTGCAGTAAGTAAAAGTTCGTTAACGGTTAGTGAATTTTTTCCGTGAGGTATACGGGAGCAAATGGAAAGCATTATTAACAATATTCAAGGAGAAATAACACGTCGGAAGGAGAAACTGGTGAACCAATAAGAAAAAAGGCACGAATTGAAGAGAACAGCAGAAAACGCAAAGCCCTATAAATATGCGATGCCGTTTTATTGCAAATAAAAACAAGGTTCAACTTCTCTGGGCATTTGCTCGCTTCTAATTTATTTATGTTGGAGATGTTTTCGGTCTATAGGCATCAGTTTCCCGAATCATTCCTTAATGAAACATGTATACAATTTTCATTTTTAGACAAAAATATGCCTAAAATAAATTACAAGTACTGTATCAGAGAGACGAATTAAGTGGGCGACGGAAAATTCATCGAAAACAATTGCTCGAAAGAAAATTGCTCGAAATCAATTGCTCGAAAAATTGTTCCTCGAATGCCTAGTTACTCTAATAATAATATCTCGAAAAAAAAATTCCTCGAAATAAGTAAATAAGTTATTTAAAGAAAATTTATAAAATTATTACAAATACAAAATAATTAAATGCACTATGAAATGTGTTTATACTTAGAATACATTTATTTAACTTTATTTACAAATATACAGGGTGGCCCATTAGTGTGTGGAAGTGCAAACATGAATATTTTTAAATCACAAACTAAAAATGGAATTTTCTTATAAACAGTCAATTTTAGAGAGTACCTTGTACAGACATAATTTGAAGGGATCAAATAGTTTTATAAGATGGAAACATAATATACTAGGAGTATACGCAGAATTTTACGCTGAATTCGATGGTAAACATATATACAGGGTGCCCTATTTAAAAAAAGCTTACTTCATGTTGTCTCACTTAGGCTGAACACCCTGTATATCTCAAATTATTTTAGAAATGTGTACCTCCGCAAATATAACAACTTTTATTTAAATATTTTTTTGTATATTTTATCAAAAGTAAGCTATTGCACTTCCACACACTAATGGGCCACCCTGTATGTACACTTAATAACCAATGTTGTGAGCAAGACTGCGAACATATCCTTCAATATTTACGTTGTACTCAAAATTTTGCACTATGCGCCCTATTCTTGCCGCACAATCGCGATATTTACGACTACCCATTGAAGGTTCAATGCCAGATAAAAATTGTTCTATTTTCAACTCGCTAAGGCTTTGTTGCCTTTTGATAGCATCTATAAATTTCCAAATGCTAGGGTGATTCGCCCAAAGTAACTCTTATAAACCTCTGTGCCAACCTTCGACGCTGTTGTCAGTTTTTGGTTCACCTTCAAGAGTACCTTCGTAACAATTCCATATATTTAAAGGTAAAACGAGGTGGACGTCGAAATCTTCGATTTGGGCGACCGATCCACGTGTCCTCAAAATAATCTATTACGGGTTGTGCTTCTTCATAGTCGACATCTATTTCATATCTGTTTTTCAAACCATTCGATTGAATACGGCGGAAAATTGCTGCAATTACTTCTAAATCCGTGGAAAATTTTTTGCCAGCAAGAATTTTTTTTAGGTTTGGAAACAAATAAAGGTCTGACAGGGCTAGGTCTAGCGAATATGGAGGACGGTTTAACAATTCAAAGCCTAGCTGATGAATTTTAGCCATTACAAGAACGGACTTGTGGCAAGGTGCATTGTCCTGATGAAACAGAATTTTTTTTTTGCCAAACTAGGGCGTTTTTCGCTTATATTCTGCTTAAGCTAGTCCAGTGAGTCGCTGCAGTACTCGGAATTTATTTTTCTTCCCTTTTCGAGATAATCCATTAGGAGTATCCCTTTAGCATCCCAAAAAACCGTTGCCATGACCTTTCCAGCAGACGGTACTGCCTTTGCCTTCTTTGGAACTGGTTCGTCCTTTGCCGTCCACTGTTTGGACTGTTGTTTAGTTTCAGGGGTATAATGATAAACCCATGTTTTTTTTAGACGACAAGCAAGGCTACACAGACACGTTGGAACAGGAAAGCAAATCGGGCCTACTATAGGTTAGGCCGGAAACTTTTCATTCCATCCTCGTAGATATTTAACTCTACTCGTTAAAAGCACATTTAATTATTTTGTATTTGTGTACATTTATTTTAGTAACTTATTTTCTTATTTCGAGGAATTGTCTTTTCGAGATATTGTTGTTCGAGTAACTAGGCATTCGAGGAATTGTCCATTCGAGGATCAATTTTTCGAGCAATTGATTTCGAGCAATTTTTTTCGAGCAATTGTTTTCTAACAATTTACACCAAACTGAATTAAGTACCACCTCCGAGGCTTTCCCGCTCTCAATTTTATAAAATGAGGAAGGTTTAAATTGTACATTTCAGAAAACTCTAAAACTTTTAGGTATTTTGATAACAATACCTATGTCAACATCTGTTTTTCAATACTTAAACGCCGGATTAAAACATTCCTCAGAAATACAATGAAGGAAGAAAGACTTAGTGCTTTAGGTATGTTGTCAGCAGAAAAACATTTTTTAAATGGAATTGAAAATTTTAATTATAAAGTAATTAAAAACTTTGCAACCAAAAAAGAAAGAAGAATGGACTTCATTTATACTTGCTCGTATGTAAATACTGTAAATGGGTATAGTTTTATTTTTGTGATTTTTTTGGTATATGGACCTAAAGACTCCTTATGGTAATCAAAAACTACAAGGACTTTCAGCATTTTTTACTGGGGTAAGTTATTTATAATTTTTAATTAATTTTACACAGTTCTTTGATAAGTTTTGAGTAATTTATTGGCAAAGTTTAGGATAAGACTAACCCTGACGGCCTGTTTCGTGGCAAAACTTGTGTTATTAACCTCATAAATAGTAGTCATATAATAGATATAAAAGTTACCGTCCTTCATTTATTTTTTAATTAAAATTTTGTATCTATTTTGACAATACTGTGATAAATTTTTGCCCAAAGCCAGTTTTTTAAACGACTTTTGGTTAAAAATTTGGGCGTAGCACCCCAAAAAATCTGGCACTAAAATACCGTCTCGTATTATAACGAGCCGCCACTGCAGCAATGTTTCTAATATGTATTCAAACGATCATACTCACATTATAAAAAGAAAAAAATTACCATTCATTATAAATAACTTTTATTTTTCTTAGAATAAATCAAATAATACAGATAAATACGTAAAATCTTCTTAAAATAAGACATTAAACATTTTTTTAAAACTATACATAAATAATGGTGGCAATTACATGCCTACAATACACCTACATTGTAAATAAAAGTCCTCTTTATTTTTATAAAATTAATAAATTCCAAATTTCATAAATTAAATATAATGTGTAAAAACAAGTCAATTTTTTAAATGCTTTCTACTTCTTCCGCGAATGATAATAACTATGCCTAATACACCACTAAATACAGTGCAGATCAATCGTTTGATCTATTGATTTGACCCACAAGTCGAAAGAAATAGTTTATTTCTTTATCAAATATATTTCTATTAAATTGTAATAAACTAAATTGACTTGCTTTTGCATTTATACAAAATAACCAGATTCATGCTTTCAATGAATTATGTGAGTTGAGACGGTCTAAACATAAATTTTCCAGAAATTTTGCGCTTAGTCCTTACTTTGTTCCATTCGTAAATGCTTGGATCGTCTCCCATAACCTTATCCATCTCATATAACAAATGTGGATTGGAAAATAATTCTGGGTTATGTTCATATCTGTCGGCTAATTCGGACCATGCAGGATCTAAAAAAATTACTATATCAAGACGGAATTAAACCAATAAATAATCTTAACTCTCTATTGCATTTTTTGACCGAAAGGGAACACAAACTTTACAAATTACTAACGATTCCGAAATGCTATACCGCTATTCGATCATGTATTGGAATAGATACGTCTTGTTTACATAAACAATTGTCGTATGATAATAAGGTCCACAATCGCATGCACAACAAACGGTGGTACCAGCAGAGGTTGCCACAGTGTCACTTAATTAGTTCCCAATATTTCAAGGTTCGAAATACTTAATATGGAGCTTAATATTTAACAGTTCATTTAAAAATCTGGATCATATTCATAAAATTTCTCATTTAATTTTCTTCTGGATTGAATCGGTGTTTAAATTAGATGTTTTTAGATTTTGTTCACTACGATCCATCGGTTTAACCATTAGATACTATATTTTAACTGGACATTTGGCAACCCTGTTTCTGTATGTTTTTAAAAGTGTCATTCGGTGTTTTATTTTAGTGAAATATTCTTGTTTTATTTATGTATTTGAAAGAAATTATTTACAAACGTAATTATACATTTCAAAATAGAAAAGAGATGCATAGTTTCCGAACATTTTGGACCAAGAACACCCAAAACCAATTCTTGCTATTTTCACAGGTAGGTTATGTCAAAATCAATCTCATGAAATGTAAATAATGTAGATATCCATGTGCGTAACAACTGTGCTAGGGTTTCTTTTATTTCTTGATATAAAAATACCTAATTGTAGAAACTGGCTATTTTATATGATGTATACGTTTACACGTTTCCGAGAGACATTGTCTAATGTCATTGTGGCTGAACAACTTGAAAATAAATGAGCAAGATCTCAAAACTGAAAGATGCCAACGTTTGTTCAGATCACTTTTCACATGAAGATTTATTTAGCTATAATAATCGAACATTTTATTTGAAATCCAATGTTTTGCTAATAGAGTAAGTAAACAAGTGTCTTTATATACATACTTTCGTATTGATATAGGTAAAAGGTAATTTATGAGGATTTATTGCAAATGTCTACTTACACCTAGTTAAACAATTCGTTTCTGAAACTAAGTGTTATTGAGGTCTAAAATACTGTGAAAAATCGCTTAGAACTGTTGTCTCCCAGGGGTCGATTCTCGACTTGTAGGAACCTTTTCCTATAGGAATTTGTGACACTTTCCTATATGTAGAAAAATGTCAAAAATTCCTATAGGAAAAAATTCCTACGAGTCGAGAATCGACCCCCAGTTGTAGTTTAATAAACACAAAGTAAACTTTTTTGATTATACTAAACCCATTATTGAAAACTTATAATTTTTACTTTCCTATCTGTATACAGATATAAGGAAAGTATAGGAATCATGATTTTTTTCGACCTCGAGTTTTCGACGGATTTTTACGTTTTGAGGTCCCCTTTATTTTCGCGATGGTGTGTGTGTGTGTGTGTGTGTGTGTGTGTGTGTGTGTGTGTGTGTGTGTGTGTGTGTGTGTGTGTGTGTGTGTGTGTGTGTGTGTGTGTGTGTGTGTGTGTGTGTGTGTGTGTGTGTGTGTGTGTGTGTGTGTGTGTGTGTGTGTGTGTGTGTGTGTGTGTGTGTGTGTGTGTGTGTGTGTGTGTGTGTGTGTGTGTGTGTGTGTGTGTGTGTGTGTGTGTGTGTGTGTGTGTGTGTGTGTGTGTGTGTGTGTGTGTGTGTGTGTGTGTGTGTGTGTGTGTGTGTGTGTGTGTGTGTGTGTGTGTGTGTGTGTGTGTGTGTGTGTGTGTGTGTGTGTGTGTGTGTGTGTGTGTGTGTGTGTGTGTGTGTGTGTGTGTGTGTGTGTGTGTGTGTGTGTGTGTGTGTGTGTGTGTGTGTGTGTGTGTGTGTGTGTGTGTGTGTGTGTGTGTGTGTGTGTGTGTGTGTGTGTGTGTGTGTGTGTGTGTGTGTGTGTGTGTGTGTGTGTGTGTGTGTGTGTGTGTGTGTGTGTGTGTGTGTGTGTGTGTGTGTGTGTGTGTGTGTGTGTGTGTGTGTGTGTGTGTGTGTGTGTGTGTGTGTGTGTGTGTGTGTGTGTGTGTGTGTGTGTGTGTGTGTGTGTGTGTGTGTGTGTGTGTGTGTGTGTGTGTGTGTGTGTGTGTGTGTGTGTGTGTGTGTGTGTGTGTGTGTGTGTGTGTGTGTGTGTGTGTGTGTGTGTGTGTGTGTGTGTGTGTGTGTGTGTGTGTGTGTGTGTGTGTGTGTGTGTGTGTGTGTGTGTGTGTGTGTGTGTGTGTGTGTGTGTGTGTGTGTGTGTGTGTGTGTGTTTGTGTGTGTTGTGTGTGTGTGTGTTTCGAATTTTGAAGAAAACTCAAAAACGGATAAAGAAAATAACATTAAATTTTAAACTTAAGGTTTATTTCGGCCTGACGTGAAATGATTAGATTTTATACAAAGTCGGAACATCTAGGGGGGTACTTTATGGGAGGCCGTTTTTATATTTTATGGAATATATCTGTTATTTATGTTTGGAGAAGAAAATTGTTTAAATAAAAGTTACTTATAATATTATTATCTTTAATTTTTGTTCTATGTTAAAATTTCCTGAAATGGTCCGTATCCGAGAAATTTGACAAAATGTGCAAAATTCTGATTTTTATGAAAATTGTTGAACTAAAAGTTGTTTGCGGTATCGATCTCTATAATTTTTGTTTATACATGATTTTTCTAAAATGGACCGTATTGGAAAAGTGCTAAATTTAAATTTTTCAGTATTTTCGTTTTCAATGAATATCTATAGAAAAATGTTTCGAGGTAGATGTATGTGGACAATGTATATATTTAGTTTATCCTCTAAACATTTATAGAGATGCTGCAATAGGTTGTACAAAATAACCGGAAAAAGCCTATAAAAACTAGATAGGAAAGTCATGTGTTGGACACATCAGATTTTTTTAGTACATACTTCGTTGAGGGAAGTATTATAGAAAATGTATATGTGGGAACGTATGATGATTATATTCGCTCAGTGCGAAGTTATGGTAGGGAAAGCAAAAGCGATACTATAGCGCAAGCTGCAGATAATTCGATCACTTTAGGGCGATATTTTGTAATTTTGGCGTATCAGATACACGTATACATTTTACTCTTTTTTTGCAAAAAAGAAGTAAGAACAATGTATTAAGCAACCGTAGTTGGTGTGTACTAGAAGTAGAATCTCCTAAGGTATTTATTTATTTATTTTTATCTTCTAAAAAGTAAGTTTTCACTTCTTCTACAAAATTAAATTATTTTTAAATTAAGATATTTTCTAATTTTTTTTTATTTATTCGGGTTCTGTGAATTAGAAAAGGAAACATCAATCTACGTCCTGCACCAATGTGAAAGCCTAACTAGATTGAGGTTTTTTATACTAGATGAATAAAAGCCAGTCACATGTAACTACATGCATGTGGATGCCACTATCAAGGAAACTAAGTCTAATAAAAAAAGTCCAAGCTTAGATGACATACTCTAAAACAAACGGAGTCCCACAATATATCTGAAAAGGTCGCGGTGGACACGGACACAAAATGTTAAACTCCTTTTAAATCTAATATCTAAGCTGCCCTTATTTTTGACAGAAGCGTCGTGACATGCCACTCATATTTTGGTAAGCCTTTTTTGTACAATTAGCTATAGCATCGGAATTTTTAATAATTTTTACGTAAAAGTCTTCAGTATTCTAAGAAATTCGTTTAATTGGGCATTTAGAAGCAAATTGATATAAAAATATTGTTTATTATTCGCACTCATAAGGAGTATGTATAATAATTGCAAATGGTTACAACGTTGCCAACTGTCAGTTAAAATTTTGAATATTGCATAAAACCATGGAAGTGACTCTTCTTTCGAAATATCAGGATACAATTTCAAGACAAAATATTCAAAACGATAAACCACCTTGGATTATTGATCTTTGTGACTTTTCGGCCTCAGTCCCTGATTCTCTATTTATAGAACGAGCTCTTCTACAGGTTCTTTGAAGGTGCCCGATTCTTCCGCAATTGAAGCATCTTCTGTTCTTATTTTGGCTATTTCGTTGTATATTTTGCAGGAAATTTAACATTTGCGAGAGGGTAGGTTGGGGAATAGCATTAGCATTGGGGTCTTCACTTTCCTGGGATTTAATTTCTCTCTTTTTTGCGCGAGAAGATCTGGATATGAGTTTTACCGCTTCATATTCCTGAGCTGCAATCAGTTTCTCCTTTAGCGTCTTGTGATGTTGTAGACGAAGGACTTGCTGCATTTCCGCATCTTGTAGTCCATCAATGAATGCCTCTATTCCGATTTGTTCTAGGAAATCTTTGGGCGCCTGTGGATAGGCCAGATGAATCAATCTTCTTATGTCAGCCCCGAATTCCTGTAGACTCTCATTATGTTTCTGACTACGAATCTTTAGCATTAATGCTCATTGTCTACAGGAAGCTCTTTCAAACTCCAGTTTGGTATTCAGCTTCAAAATTGTCGATTCCAAATTTTTCCATTACTTTAATTTTTTAATTGGTAGTGAAAAAATATTTTTTTGTTTTTTGGGAAGTAACAGGCTTAAGGAAAAACTAACAGAGTATTTGGAATAGCGTGATGTAAGCGACGTAAGGGAATCCAGATATACAATAAATATATTCAATTTATAATATTCTTCAACTATATTAGCCTGAATATTATTATTTCTACTGGATTCCCTATATGTACATAATAGTTCCTCCACTGCAGATCTTAATCATACTCTTTTCAATTGTTCAAACAATTATAATTCAATTATCCAATTGTATAAAATGCTCATTAATATAAATATATTCCCGCCCTATAATATTACGTACCTAGTTGCTCTTGAAAATAAATCAATTTATACATGTCTCATTAAGTTCCTATCATCAATTAACCTACTGATATAATTTGGTTTTAAAAATCATTTTAATAAAGTTTTTGTATATATATTCCTTATTTTGTGGCAAACAGACTTAGTCTAATGCCATTCTCTCTCTCACACGCACACACATTATTATTTCTATGAGATTGTTGTTCGTAATGCATATCTTACGCGTTGTTGATTAAGTCGTAAAAGCCAGGAGGGACAACTGCCCCCCCTTGCCCTCCCCAAACGACGTCCATGATTGTGCATGCTTTGATATTTTTATTTGTTATTGGCAGATAAAGGTTAGATTTCAACTAAAACATATGTAGATTAGGTTCATATATCTATGTAATGTATGTTTAAAAATAAAAGAGCTACTTTCGCATGAAATTACGTGAAAAATATTCCCATAAATGTATGTTGCCGCTCGGGAATAATATGCATTAAAAAATAAAATAGATGAATTTATTTATTGTTGGTAAATAAAACGGTTTTCTTTTTTTTTTTTTCTTTATTATATTCTATTGTATTTTATTATATCTTATTGGATTTAAACCAAATTGGCCTTTGGTCGTAAATAAATAAATAAATATTTAAATAAATAATAAATATATTAGAATACAATGTAATATTTGTGCTTCTTGTATTCCAATAGAAATATATATTTGTATTAAGTATATAGAGTGTGCCTTTCAAAAGTAGCTTCCGTAGCCTCCTCGTAGACTGGCATAAAACAACCTGTTAATAGACCATATAAAATTTCAAAATGATGCCAATTAACGCTTTAAAATGGCGCCCAACGTCATTATTGATGTCCCTTGCTTCAAGCTATTCCGGCCCTGTTCACTCTTTGATCTCATTGATCTCAACAAAATCGTGTACGTTGGAATTATAAGTTGTGTGAGTTCTTCTATATTAGTTATCAATTATGACCTACTTACATTTAAAATTATTTGGCTGTGCATATTCCTTTTCGATTTCATCATAATGTAAAAATGGATTCTGAAAAATAAATATAATTTTTAATAAATTAATCAAAAAAATATACCTAATTTAAACAAATGTATTGGGCTGAAAAGAGAATTAAATCCCTTTTGGACACGGTTTTACAACCTTTTCTAATTTAAAATTTTTAGGCGAATAATAATTTAGAAATAGTAAAAATGAGGGATAATATTAATTCCATGTATGGACTGTACTGTCTCAGAATATCTCCCATATTTAGATAGAATATATAAAAATAACATAACAAATTCCTATAAATGTTTTTCCGTCGACCCCCCTTTTCTGAAATATGGTTCCATAATGGACACAACTAAAAATATTTTCTTTTTAAATAATTTTCAAGTCCTTGGTATAATTTATTAATTTTTAAATATGATGGATACTAAATAATTCTCCATAAAATTGACCATTTTAAACACATCTGGCTTATTTAGTTTGCCAGAGACGGACTAGCTTTAACAAAATAATACTATTTTTTTTTATTTAAAATTAAAGTGTCTCGACTGCCAGGGTCATTGACACAGGTACAAAATAATATATTATTATTCTAAAAAAACAATCGAGTATTTATAGGATATTAATGTCTTTAAGGAATTTAATAATATTAATTATTTGGTCTTGAGAACTAAGAACTTCTTTCAGATTTGGTGGTAGGTTGTAGATTCTCCTGTGGTTCGCAAAGTCTTGGCAGTCTATGATGATGTGCTGGACGGTTAGGGGAAGCATCATAGAAATAGTATAGAAAGCCGATTCCATATATCAAAAATGAAACCATAAGGAGAAACTAGTGTGTCGGAGCTCATGCGTATAACGGTGCTGGCGCGAACAAGACCGGTGCAAGTTTTTTATTGATCGAACAAATAGTTCACACATTTCAATCATACATTTTTAGAGACGATTCTATACAAAAAACGATTAAAAAAATTTCAAGTTAAGGTAAATATGGTTCTGATAGTCCTTATTAAGAAAGATATGGCATAAAATATGAATTAGTTAATTTTCGGCAATCATTAGTACAGTAGTCATGAGATTTTGCTTGTGATTTTAAAAATACTTTCCAGAAAAACCACGTGCTCCGGTTTTGACTACGTTTATTATTAAACAGCGAAATTATATACAAAAACTTTAATCCACAATCTAAATTAGGTACTATCACAAGAAAATCACTGTTACAATAATTAATTACTTAACCAAAAACTAAAATACTTTTTAGGTACCTACGTAACCAGAAAGGAGCTGGACCATTTATCCTAATATTGATTTTCTCTCTTCCTACGGTAAAACTTAAAACAATAACAAATTGCCTATCTACTAGGGTCGGTAACTAAACGAATATACATAATGGGCGGATTTTGTTTATACTTAACATTACACTCGCGCATTTAAATATAACTATGCATATAAATATTTACAAACAAAGATACCTACTTTTCCAAACAGGCAATCATTAGTACTGTAGTCACGAGATTTTGCTTGTGATTTGACATCTTATTTGATAATATCATTTGCAACAACTAAATTTAATCTGGGGAGTGCAAAATAGGGCCCAGGAATATTATGTTCGATATTTTTTTACATTTTGTCAGCCGAGACTATGAGTCGTTAGACAGAAAATCTTTCATGTTACCATTTTCAATATAAATTATAAAATTAAAAAATACTACTACATTTACTTGGTACATAGTTTATTTTAATTTTGAACCCTTTTAAAAGGGTCTTTCGGTTCCATAATAAAAATTAGTTGCTGCTTACTAGAAACATTCTATATAGCCTAAACCAATTTATAGTTTGTTTTCGATCAATTTAATACAAAGATTTAAAGTTTTTAGTCGATGATAACATTCCACACCAGCACATTGCAAACCTATTTTATAAATAATAGGAATAAACTTGTAAATCATTAATTTGGTAGTTATCTCACTCATATGATTTTTTTGTTTATATGACTATTTCGATTTCTAAATATATTTTGGCCTTATGGTAGTTATATTCTCAATTCGTTGAAATATTTTTTTAAGTATGTTGAGCGATAATTCTTTACCACGTTGCCCGATTTCTAGGATTCTTTTTGTTAGAAAAGGAAACAGTTTTATATACATTAAGTCAAGATCTGAAGATGGGATCCATAAGAAAATCATTAACATCTTTATTTTTAAAGTAGGTTTTTTTATAAATTTCTTTAAACCTTACTGGTTCGAACGCGGTAACGAATGAAGAAATGTAAATAATTGTTGTGTCAGTCAAAAAGCGAAGAGGAAGTACCGATTAAAATATCGAGTGACAGAAGAGTTCCTAAGATTGTTGAGATCGAGTTTATGTTTTAAAATGCCTTAAAACCGATATCGATAATGTCTCCCCGTCGCTGGGCAGCCTGTATATAAATATACAGCTCTCTATTTACATAATTATAATTCTTAGGTAGGTTTAGATTTGCAGACATAAATCTTGTAATAAATATAACAGCTGCCTAATACATTGATTACATTTTCATTAGCCAATGTAAAAATGTCTTTTATTGTACCTAGGATTTGACTAAACACTACACAAAACTAAAAATAAAATGCCACTTTCATCGTGTAATTAATTCCGCGTTTGAGAATCCATATTGGATGCATTTTTTACATCTCGAGCGTTTTTTATCCACATCGGACACATCTGTCCCATTACATTTACGTATACTGAATCTCGTGATCAAAGATTTACTACTTAGGGTCGGTTTTTCAATGTCCAGTCAATTTAACTACGTAGTCTAATAGTTTTTATTTATTCTTAGACATGTTGGCATTTCTGCTAATTTCTTAAATGGTTTTTATTGGATAATTTAAATTTTCCGCTTTACATATCGTGTCTTGTGTTGATCATATAATTTAAAAATTAATTAATTTAAAATTCTTTTCTGTTAGGTATGTTTAATATATTTGGCAACACTACAGGGACAAGTCATACATATTGCGCAAGCTTCTAGACACACTATTTTGCGATGTCAGGCGCAGAGACGCGTTTTTATGCACAGTAGGTTTCAATTTCTGCTTAAATGTTATGTTTATATTGGTCTTCTATATTATTTCTATGGGAAGCATGCAGCTCTGACACATCGGTGGATCTTCGGTAGTCAATAAGTAACCGTGTGTTAGTCGAGTATGATTAGTCTTCGGATGATTATTTTGTACTTTCTTGAAAGATAAATCATTTTAAACGGTTCGATGTTTGGTTGGATATCACGTAGTTTAGATGGGTTTGCCACGTTCTCCTAATATTATTTTTGAAAAGGTTTTGGATGTCTTTATGTAGCTAAATGTTTTCCATTGCTAAATTTGATGAAGAAACCTCTTTAGCTGCACGGTCGGCTGCCTCGTTGCCTGGTATACCCACATGTGATGGTATCCAAATTACTGTTATGGATACTCCTTGCACAATGAGAAGATAACAGGATTCATGTATTGTTTCGACCACTGAATTGTATGAGGAATTATTTTTTATTGACATGATTGATGCAAGTGAATCTGTGCAAATGGCCACTGTTCTCGTGTTTATTTTAACAGATTTTACAGCTTGGTAGATGCCGAACTGCTCGCCAGTGTGAACACTGTCAAAATGTGGAAGAAGATTTTTAGAGATGATATCTAGGCCAGAGATCACAGAGCATCCGACATAGTCTTTTATTTTAGAAGCATCTGTGTATTGGATGGTGTCAAATTAGGAATAATTTATTAATTCTAGAAAAGCTTGTTTTTGAAAGTTACTTGGAGTTTTGTTTTTAGGGTCATGAGCTAGAGTGGTATTAAAAAGTGGTAGAAATTTTTCCCATGGCGGCACAGGAGTTATAGGAATTGGAGTTGATCGAGATACATCGATATCAGTGAGAAGTGGAGCAAGGATTTGTGGTAATGTTTGAACATTATTAGTGGAAATGTGGACGTTCGAATATAAGGTATCCAGTTAATTCATCGCGCGACAATTTATCGCGCGACCTTTCAGAGCCGACAATTCATCGCCACAAAAATATCGTATTGTATCTATGATTGATTTATACAGTATGTCTGAAAAAAAAAACAATTTTTTTTGTGCTATATTGAATTTTTCTTATAAGTACCAAATAAAATTATTTTTTCGAAAAAATTACAAAATATCTTACTCTAAATTACACAAAAATATGATTAACTTTTTTTCTGCTAATCAAGTAGTTTTTACTAAGAAAAATATAATAAATATCAATAATAATATTGATAAGCCAATTTAAAGTGTATGAGCGGCAGTCGCAGGTTCTCAACAGTCCTTTACCTACTGTTTAAAAAGGATTATCTTCATTAGCCAATTCGGGTAAGTTACCACATTAGTTAATAATAAAGAATTATAATTATCCTTTATTAATCCTTTCAAGGAGAAATTCATAGTGCAATCAATATTTAATTCTAAAAAGGATTATCTTCAATAGCTTGTTTGTGTAAGTTAGTATTTTAGATGCCCTGTTTATAATATATGTATAAAGGTTTAAATAAGAAATACCAACGAACTGTAATCATTCTTATTTTGTCTTTGTACGAGTTTACATCATTGTAAAATTTGAAAATGCCATTACAATTTGTTGACAGCGAAAGAGGTCACAAAATGCTTTTATACAATGGCCATACACATTTTAGAGAAAAAATTTCTGGAGAAAAAGGTATTTGGAAATGTTCTCTATATCATAAATGGAGATGTACCGGTCGCATTCATACCATAGGCGATGAAATTGTGAAGAGTACCGAACATAATCATGTGTCAGATAGTGCTGATGCCGAAGTAAGAAGAGCTGTTAAAAAAATGAAAGTTTTAGCTGAACAAAGTGGTTCCACTACTCAACAAATCATTGCAAAGGTTTCCGAGGGTTTATCATCATCGGCTGCAGCCAGATTACCACAAGTGAGTGCAATGAAAAGAATTATTCAACGAAAAAAGAAAAAGACAGAAGGAATTCCTGCGATTCCAAATTATCTGCTTCAATTAGTTATTCCACA